GAAAGAGTGGCAGGTTCTCTCGCTCAAGAGGGACAGGACGTATCATTTAAAGTACTGACCGACTTTGTCGCTACGGTAGCACGAGTTGCACGTAGCAGATTTGGACAACTGGCGACTACGACCACTCCGTGTCCTCAGAATGCCGCACAAGTGCAACGGTCGGGTGACAAACGCACCGACCATAAATTTGCCTTTTACACCTCTTCGGAGCAGTCTAGGAGAGCAGAATGCCTGGCGTGCAACGTAGAACCTGACACATCGTCATATCCCACGGTCCTTTCTTCGGACCTCCCCGACTGATAGGAGCTCCTGCGATCCAAAGTGGGTTACAACTGTTTGAGACCAGGCCATCGGCCTGTGAGCTGTCGAGATAGTAAGGGATGCAAACTATCCTTATGAAATGGGATACACCATCCCCTGTTGTATGCGATAAAAACACCTAGTTCTCCTCGGAGGATGTCCAGCCTTTTTCACACAGTCAGTTCTGCTTTTGAGAAATTCTGTCTTGGAGTAGTTCCGGTACTTTTGGTGGGTCACTTGAGATCCGTCGAGACTTACGCCCTGTTGGTTCTGACGTAAGCCTTGTCCAAGAAGACATCCTGCAGGAGGTCGGGTTAAAGGCTGATACTGCGTCTTTGAAAGTACAGACATTAAGTGGCTTTGCATCTTTGGACGCAGGTATTGCGCATTTCCATTTATCGGCCCCGGATGGCTCTGATTCGGTTACTGTTGAACGAGCTTATAGCCTGAGGCACCTACCGTTAAACCCCGTAGCTTGCCTCATCAGCCAAGTCGCAAGCCGTTGGTTTCATTTATCCGCTGTTCATTTTTCTGAAGTTGAAGACAATAGAGTTCGAATTCTTCTGGGAGCAGATATCCCTGAAGTCCTTGGCAGCTAGGGCAGCGTCGGGGAGGTCTGCAACTTCGTTCGCTGCGAAAACCTTGCTAGGATGGACGTTACTTGAACCTGTGAGCAGGATCCAGCAGCCTTTGTATGGACGGTGACCTTGTAAGAGTGAACACAGACAGCCGCTCTTTCTCCGTAGACGACGAGAAAGCCCTATCTATCACTGAGAGTTCAGTGCGATTGGTAGGTGGAAAATTAGAGTCAGCACTCCCTTGGAGAAATCGGCAAGCGGATATTCCCAACAACTATGAGTCATCTTGGCTCCCACTGCAGTGCTTGAGCCGCTGGTTATTGGGCATCTAGTGCTACGAGAAAAATACATCGAAACTGTGGTGGCGAACGTTGGGAACAAGTGCACGCTTTTGTCGAATTCCGATATCTCTGTTGTGGACGGATGGACGCGACAGGACCGTTCATATCGAATTCGATACATACTTCAGAGTTTTACAGCTACATCTCTCCCGCAACCTTTACGTAACCGATACCATTGAAGTAGTAACTTACGAACCGAAATTAACTGAACAATTTAGTCGTCGTCCAAATGTTCCTGTCTATCTCGACACACATCAATCAGCCAGTGAGGTTCGTCTCCCCTTCCATTGTTTTCAACGTTTACATGCACTTCACCTTTGCGACGCTTGCTGGCGACGCGAATCTTAGCGTCCGTTATATGAGTAGTTATACAAGCCATTTAATTCTAGACGTAATTACTGAATCAGAATTGCACTCGGGTGCGCAACTGGTTCGGATCTGCGCGCTATCTCAAAATACTCTGACGATAATTCACGCGGACGAACCGACCAACAATGGCCCATCGGTAGGATTGCTACTCTTCGTTTGGTGGCGATGCGCCGCCCAGCTTCCGCTTCGCAGAAGAGTTTGAAGCCACGCTTTCCATCTAATTCTGATCACTTTTCACTTGTTAAATCTGCATCGCCCATCGGTCTGTGTCAATCCTTCCCATGAGGGACTTTCATTGAGATAACAGATCCTTTACCGATCTCAGTAGTTCCGCCTGCCTCAGTAGCTTCCGATGTTATACCTAGGTGCACTCGGTGACGTTATTCATCACTTTTGGGTAGTTGTTCATTTGGGTACGGGTTAGAACGGCACGTTATCCAGAACAAATCGCAGTTGGCTTCTTCGGCTGAGCCTTATCTAACCCTTAGAGATAGTGTCTTCGAATTTTTGGATGATAGCGAAGTTGTGACATACAAGTGGGATCCTCGTGGCACCCCCCGGATGAGGTCAGTCCAACAGGTGCGGCGACGAATCTAGTCAAAACCAAGGATGAGCTATTCGAATCAGACGTGCGAAAACATTGTTTGTTAGAAGAACATGACATGCGTGAAGAAATAGTTCCGGCTGTTGGATCTCTGCAAGTGGGAGGCGGACTTCGCGTCTACTGTTCCAGGGAGAACCACTGCGAGTCCAACAGCCTAAGTGGGAGTGACCAGGCTTATCGGTATACGTCCTGTGAACCCCATAGTGGGTAAAACCGCGGTAGGGCGCTCAGAGAAGAAGCGTTTAACAACCATTGCTCCGAGTAGAGCTTTATTGGTCGGTGACCACATATTCTTATTGGTCAGATTGCACGACCTGTCTGTACAGCTTTTCATGTTCCCCTATGCCTGTACGAGATCACTTGTTGTATTTTGGTCCACTGGTCGGCCTGGGGATTTGACGTCGAGATTGCTTTTGTATTGAACGACTTCTTGGTGCATTTGAGGTATTGCCTGTTTTTCTTTAATTACTTTGTGCAGTGCCACCGTTATCTCGGTTTCGGTTCCGGTTCCGGGTTTTGTTAATTTCCCGGAAGGACGCGCGTTGCCTTAATTCCCAATCGTTTTTTTGCTTACAGTCAATTGCTTTCTAATTGTTGTCTAATCTTCTCGGTTCGTGCTAGCACGATAATTTCAGATTCTCGACCATCTGTTTCTACGCGTAAAGCAGTGGCTGTCCTCGATCGATGACTATGGTTTCCAATATCCTGAGAATTTTGGTTCTCTGGTTGCGCATCAGAACGTTGAATGCCTTATCATGATTAACTCGGTGGCCGGTGCCTTGTGATTTCCAAGCCAGCTCAATTTCTCCATTCACCTGATTCCACCGTCACCGATTCCATTCGGTTTTCTTGCCACTTGGGGATATATTCATTGGCCTTGTCTCCTAAACGTCGGCTAGTGTGCCGGACATGGCCATCTATGTTGCTAGAATTGAATTTGCATAAGTTTGGAACATGCACTGGCTCGTTATCGGTGTATTGATGGAGCCCATAAGTAGCGATCTTGTTGACGTGGGCAAATATAGTTCAGCTACACTATACCGCCTTTACACTGAAGTTGTAAAGCGTTTCGCGGTGCTTTTCATCCTTCCGGGGTGGTGCAAAGCGCGAGGATTAGCCAACGATTGGCTTACTGGTGATCTCTTGTGACAACGTTTGTTATATCTGTAATCTTGCGTGATTGTGTTTGGTGAGCTTTCACCAAATGATTGAATCGTCTCACATTCCAGATCTTCTGGCTTTGCTGTTTGGTAGTAGAAGGGGAATTTTCTGTTTATAATTTTCTGTTAGCTGATGGGGTTGTTGCCTGGGATGTATGTTTAATTGGTTAGGAAAAGACATGTTGGTGTATTAGAGCGATATAGGGCTCCGTAGCTCTTGATATGAATGTTAATAACGAAAGTTTCTAACGAGTGAACTGCTTTCAACTTAACAGACGTATGTATTTGTTTGCACGTATCCTAACAAGAAGAAATACTGCATCCCCATAGCCAGTGTCTGGAAATTACGTTCTGAAGCAGGAAGTTACTCTTTGTATTCGAAACCCGATAGATCGTCCGATAAAACACATTTCAGGATGTCGTTAGTTAGATGTAAACAGCGCAGTATATCACCGAGTACATCTTCAAGACTTGTCGACCGCATTTGCACACTAGATACTCTATAAAAACATTTTCGTATTGGAGTTTTAACCGGCAATTTGGTGCAGTTTTTCTATGTTTCCAATGCTTAAATTGGTTGTGCATCCTATCCGTCTGAGATAGTACCGAAGTATCCAGATGAAGATCGCCTTCAACTTGCTATTCTACTCCGACAGTTGGATCCTCTCACATGGTTGCAGCTATAAAGAGCGCACATCCATATGGCTTTGTGGGGTCCCTCCACCCAACATCCTCTGGGCAGTGCTGATTGCTTCTGTTCGATGCACAGATGATATTTCTTCTTTCGCGCCTTATTTCTAAGCACCTTCAGCCAGCAACTCGAAGCTTAGTGTTCCATTTACCCTTTTAGCGCAACAGTATTGAATGGACTACAGCTAGCCGGGCTGATCACACATCCGGTGCGCTTGTCTGAAGCGCACACATTCCTACTAGCATTCTTCGATAGTTCACGTTTTACGCTCTATCGTAGAAGCGTCTGTTAATGTTGTTACGCTACCCTCGCCCTTGCTCTCTCCGCTGCCAACCTAGCCGGGGCAGAACCAAAGCACTGAAGCCTACTACATCAAAGTGTATTAGGAACAGAACACGGTTAATTTTATAAATCACATGCTGTCATCTCCTGCTGCATGTTTTTGAGCAGCCTCACGCCACTTGCCTGGACAGATTCCAAATCAGCTAGTGGTCCGCACTAGCCAGCTGTATTCGCACTCCCTCAGGCCTGCCGCGTAGCACCTTGTGTGATGTTGCCGGACTGATTTCATAGGCTTCCCGCGTGACAACCGTGCTACTGCCGGCCCGGTATCAACCCATGATGACGGACTGATTTCATCAGCTTTCTATGTGACTTGCCGCACGCCCACTTTACGTCTTGAAACCATGTCACGTTCTTAGGTTGCATCCTCCGAATAGTTAGGAACATGCGTTTCCCATCACATCACCTCATGTCGTTTTTACTGTATAAATGACGAGTTTCTCATCAATCAGAATCAATCACCACTGCTATCTCTGCTGATTCATGGAACATTTACACTAGTTGCTCTACTCACTGACGTCCGATTATTACTTTTGTTAGAGGACCTGCTTAATGTCAATCCTGATTTGGTTTCTCATTCCGTTCACTGCCCATCTATTTTTCGTTTTTTTGCAGCAGCCACTTCGATGTCGTCACTGCCCGGATTGTAATCGGTGCGTTATGAAATTCGATCATCATTGTCCATGGATTTCGAATTGTGTCGGAGAAAGAAACCATTCTGTTTTCTTGGTGTTCTTGATTCTTCAAGATCTTGTTCTCTGGTGGACTCTTTATTTGGCCAAGTGAGACAGCTGCCGCCCAACTTGATAGATGTATACTTTCTGGCAAATTCTATCTGCTATGGGTAACGTTTCTTGCCATTGATGCTTCCACTTTTTATTGATTGCGTTAATTCATGTGAAGCGCCCTGGAACACTTGACCAGATAGCATAGCGACCGCTCATTCTCACTGCTTTATTCACAGGATTGTGTATGGTTTGTTTTCATTCACCTCCGCGCTAGCCTGTCGCACTGCCTATCCATGTAGGGAGTGCCTTGAATGCTCCATTCCATGACTCCCGAGGCCGGATGAGGGTGTACGAGAAGCTGTCTACTGAGTTCACTATGACAAATGGAGTTCGCTAGGACTGTCCTATATCTACTTTTCTCTTAAACTCTGTGATTGAGATGATCATGAATGATTCGGTCCTTTCGGCCTTCTCCGGAGCACATGTTCTGTTAGGCAACCGACTGACAAATCATGCGTATACGGACGATATAGCTCTCATTGACTCTGACGTACTGGTTGTGCAAGCACTACTGAACAGCCTGACGTGTGACACTGTACGTGTCGGTATGTTCAGTGCACCTACAATGTATTACAGAACTGGACTGTAGTGGCACTAATTTTAGCTATTTGCGATCCCTATCTATAACTGGTGGATCGGTTCACTTAGCTTGGTAGCTGTGTCACTTCTGGTGGTCACATCACTGATGAAGTTTCTTCACGTATCTGCAAGACCCGTGTGGCTTTTCATCTACTCAACCATCTATGGAAACTGCGGGGTATCAGCTTGTCAGTGAAAGTTAAGGTGTAAGACCAGTGTTACTGTGTGTATTAGGGACGTGGCTGGTTGGTAGTGAAGACATTAAATTTTTGGTCGCGTTTGGTCACCGGTGCTTGCGGCCTATTGCTCAGGTCTGGTAGGAACACCGGGTGAGCACTGTTAAGGTTCACTAGTTGATTTTTGACAAGAAGCCCTCTGGTGCCTCACTCGTGTTTTTGTTAAATCTCAATCGTTTACGTTGGCTAGGCCATGTCCTCCGTAGGCCCGTGGACTGATTTCCTCAGTGTCCGCTGTACGCCCTGGCTGCGAGGTAGCATAAAGGTATGAAAAAATAAACTGTGAGGCTTGATCACACTTCCTCGTGTTGTCTTCGTGGATGCGATCCTTAGGATGTTGTCCGCACCAGCGATTGGATGTCTTATCAAACATGGCGCAGTCAGTGGTGTTCCTGCATTCGATTTCTTGCATCTATATGTTGCTTTTCATTCCCTCCCGATTAGTTTATCGTGCATTCTTCTTGGTCGCATTTTATTTGCATTCCATTTCGTCCATTCTTATTTCCTTGCCGTTGTTATTATTCTGCCGGTGCGAGTCCTGGCAGCTGGATCCACCGCGCTTCATTGTCCTGTTCATAGTTGTTTAACGGTACTGAACTGAATTAATTCACCTTCGGTCATTTCCTATGCGCCTCCTGGTACCACGGGAATGCTAGTTCCTTCATCGATAATTAGATCTGGCTATTTCCCCTACTTTAATCAGCCTTCAGTCTCTTCTGTCGGTCATGTACCGTTTAGAAACTTCTGTGACCAACCTCTGCTTACCGGCTAGATTCACCGACTCTTTTGGAAGTATACAAACATACAACGTAATGTGTACCCGATTCACACGCATTTCACTACGTATTTACCGATGGTTGTGGACATTCTGATCGTCTATTCTTGGAAGACATGCCTTCCTGGCTCGGTGTCGCTTGGCTGCTACCAGACGATCGATTCCTAAGGGTACCTTTGCACTTCTACTCAAGACCGGACCTTGTTGACACTTGTTATCTTTCAAGGTGGTGTTCGTAAAGTCAATTACCTCTATCGTTATGACCGTCTTCCACCTACAAAGTTTGATCCCTTAGGTCATTTATTCTTCCAGTCGTGACCGACACGCACTCAATCCAACTTCTCCTCTCTACTATATTCTTAGTATCCTGACTTAATTACCCCATCACTTCCATAGATAAGCAGCGCATTTCATTTTATACAGAGCCCAAATGTTAAGCCGAACTAACACTGCAAAGAACTAAGGTTGACTTTTTTTACCATTGATAGTTTGCTTGAATGTTTAGCACATCTCGTTTTTTTTATTTCGAATTACTCTGCCATTCTCATTTATCCTCCTCCTTCCCTTCTCACACTTCATAGCTCGTCGATCACACCGAGTCACCTCTGGTCCGACTGGTTTCGCATCAATGGTCTCTTCCTTACTGTGATGATTGTGCTTGCTCTAATCGGCGTCCCGGTGACTGCTTTGCTCGGATTCCACATTTATTTGGCACTAGCCAACCGCACCACATGGGAGACGGTAGCATACGAGAACATTACCTATCTACGTCATTTGGAAGATCGTACAAATCCATTCAATCAGGTGAATTTATGGGTCCTTTTCAGAGTTTTTTTGCATTCATGAAATTGAGCTTGTGCAGTCTTGTGATTTTCCCTTCGGACATGAATTTCCTCATGCCCAACTGATTCCAGAAACCATCTCATTACGGTGGATGTATAAACGGCAATATAGGTAAGTGACGGTACCTGCAATACCCCGGCACGTCGCACGGACGCTTTACTACAACGTAACCACCAATAGTGATGTGCGGTTTAGGGTTGATGCGAGTTTGCATGCACCTATGCGGGCTCGATCCTGCGACCTGTAGATAGCAGGGCAGATATCTGAACCACTCAACCACATAAACTTACACTGTTCGGCCGGTGGCCGAATGGTCTGCGTGCCTGTTTTGCAGTCAGAAAGCCATCGTTTGGAATCCGCGTATAGGATGGGCGTCCTCGCGGTGTTCTCAGTCCGCTTGCGACTGGTAGTGGTCGCGGAGCAGCGAAGCGCCGTTACGGTCTACAGCTGACATACCCTTATTGATACTGAGTATAGAAGTAAGGGAAAACCTCAGTTGCTTGTCAACACCGACATGGCACACATCAGAGTGGTTGCAAACTAAGTCACCACAACGAATGACAGAGTGGATGAAAATTCGGTTTTTATGCCACTCTAGATGCATTTGCAAGTGACAATGCTGAGCCACCTAGCACTACATCCCCGGCTGATTTATCCTCGCTCAGTTAACTCCATATCTAAATAGCCGACGGCTTGCGCCAAATTCCGTTAATCCAGTTCGTTATTCAGCCATAGAATTGTGGTGTATCCGGTTTCCTAGACTTCCATGATCGCGGCAATAGTAGCTTCCAGGCGCGTTTATATCCATATCAGTTAGAGTTCTATCTGTGTCGGTGGCTCGTCAACTTCTTGGTGGGGCTTGCATTTGACAGTATCAGGACTGCCGTCTGTTGACGCATAAGCGGGGAAAGAAGAGAAGAGGATCAGCAGTACGCCTGTACGCAGTACCGACGCTTCGTTGCTGCGCAATCACCACCGGTCGCACGTGGGCTAAGGATACTGCGTGGGTCGCCATGCCCCTACACATGCTGGAACGCGCGCCCTCGGATTACAAGTCAAGCTCGTTACCTTTAGGCTACGGACCGGCATAGGCCGAAACCCCGTACAAAACAGCGCTGAGGTTTGCTTCGTGCACCAGCATCAGTAGACACTCCCAAATGGACCGCACACTGATAAGTCTAGAGAGACAATGAATATTCCTTTCTTGATTTCGGAACGACAACATTCACTCTAGACCCATCAGCTTCTCCGGTGTCTGCAGCCACTTGCGGGCCGGTAATTGTATGTCTGCAGTCAATTCCAGTCTTAACAATATGACGCATATTGAACAATTAGAATACGCGTGTGGGTGCAAGATGTTAACACTGGGGAATTGAGCAGTGTAGCATGAAAATTAACTCACTGACAAGAACTTTTTGGATACCATGTGGTGATGCCGTGCAGATAATGGATCAGTGATATTGTAATTACTATCACCTACTTTGGGGATACACAAGGAAGTTTATCGAAGCGGATCTTGATGAATGTAAGAGAAATAAGCGGGAAGGAGTAGCACAGTCAGGTAAAAGTCGTTTCAACTTATCCACGATGCCAAATGCAGCGTATAAGTTAACCCTTTTAACACCGCTCCGTGACTGAGGCGAGATGATGCCGGGATATACCAGAAAATTCGTGGTTGTATCCATACTGAGATGGTACTAGGACACCCAAACCAATGCTTTCAGACCTCAAGCGACTTCGCATGGCAATGTGTTTCGCAGGAATCTTCAATATTCGCCGTTTTATCTACCTTACATTGCAGTTCCATACAGAAATCGAATGCTCGGGAGCTAACTTTGTATGCTCACCAGTTGACTAATTTGCTAGATACCTCTGTCAAGGAACTCGAACGCATTGCCATCGTCGACCCAAAAAAGAACACATACTGTCACATCACGCTAAGGGCTGGTCACTTTTAGACCGACAATCATCGACTTGAAAGGTGTCCTGGGTTGCCCGTGCCTTGGATTCGTCTTATTATACTGCTCGGACCGAAACATTTCATACACCACCCTTGGCAGATTGGTTACCAAATCTCGGTCTCCGTTGATATTGGTTTTAAACGAGATACGGCGTTTTCATTTGACCGACAGACCTTCTGTTCTGTGGCCTGTTTGCTATGGATAGCAGTGCCACCTGAGCTACTGAACTCTTCAGTCGTTTTGTTTGGTTGTTCAAGTCGTCAAAATAAGCTTTATACACCTAAATAGGTGCATTATCAGCATTTCCACTATCACTAAATGAATGGGACTAGATAAAAACCACATAAACACAGATTGAAGAATTAAAGAGTCAAAGTTATATGGATGTCATTCAAACAGCCGCATATGAGAAGCATTTGTTGCTTTCTTAAAAGACGTGATAAATACGGCAAGATTGTGTTATGATACGAAGAAGTGCGGGCGAATGTAACTCTAACTTTTGCATCTGTTTGAGAGACATAACGTTTGTGAGAGATCATAATGTATCTAATGAAGGCGGTCACTTAGCACCGTAGAAGAAACATTCATGCAAGAGTCTAAATGCTTCCGATCAAGAAAATCAACCATGGACTCTCTAGGCAAACTATAACAGTTGGAAATATGTGTAATCGATCGCGCGATCAAATCATAGTCCTTTTGTAGTGGGTCATGGAAGATTACTTGGAAACAGTACTGCCCAATTAATACGGTGATAGTTTGCGTTTTGAAGATGCGAGGTCTGTTCGCAAAAGTCTATAGTTCTGCCTGATCCTGTTCATACAAGCCCTTGTAAGGGGGTATAGTTCGCGTTTTCTGAGTTTGCCGGTGGGGCAGATGGCGAGAGTTTGTTTACTGCCGAAGTAGGTTGGTGTCATTCATGCTGATTTTCCGATTACGAGTTTGATGAGGAAGGGCAAGACATATTGTTCCTGCTGCATGGGGAGTTCAGAGTCCGTCTTTATCTCTTACTGATCCGACAAACCCAATATGATTTCCTGTACCATCCTCTTATCGAGTTCGTTGTGAGGACCACGTTTCCGTCTATGTGCCAGGATTATATAGATAAAATACTCGAATGATCCCTAAGCTCCGGATCCGATAACATCACATTGTTGGCCCTGGTGGGTTTTGTCCCTTCGTTGTCGGGATCCGCCATCCTATCGTATTGGCTGTGTGGTTGGTTCAACTTATGCAGTTGTTCGTGATATTGCATTTCTTAAAAATCCGATATCATTTTTGAAGACTTCAGTTGTCACTCATTGATTAGCGTGCATTAACCAAGCGTATACTTGATGACATCGAGCCTCCGAAGATAAATCCGTATACTTGCGTCTGGTTGCGTCAAACTTTCTATCTTCCGTTGTGCTTCCATAGACCGTTGTCACTTAGCATCCACCTAACGTGTTGCTTTTGATCACTTCCCACAGTTCTCGCCGTGGCCGATTCACGCACTGCTAGTTATCGACCTCCACTTCCGGTTTCTTATCTGCACAGCATAACTGCCTCCATAGTTGTCTGATTCACTGCTTTTCAACGCTTACACTTATCTGTCAGGACTTGATCGAATCCCAACGAAGTTGTTCTTGACCGAACTCAGCCAGTTCCATTTTATGGATTCATCTCAGTCGGAACGTTTTGACTCTTGTTGACTGATCGAATTCCGATACACTCGCCCCTAGTGACTTATCTGGCCAATGGTTCTTCCTCACTGTAACGAGACTAACGCACACCGCACGACTACTCCCGACCCCGAGAGAGATAGAAGATAAGGGACTTCTTCGATGAGTTTACTTCTCAAGCAAGACCGATCACAATGAAGATGATTACGGACTTTACAGCCTGGTATTCATACCACTTGTTTCCTCGTCATCGGGAGGGCGACATAGTTGTCACTTGGCAATGGGACGAAGGGGCTAATCCAGGTGACTTGATTACCACCTGACAACGGTATCACTAGGGTTCTCGCGCAATCGGCGACCTGGTTACATTGCCTCTTAGTAGGACAAGAGTGGTTGACAACTGCTAACGTTGTCGTTGATATTTGTCAACTTATGACGTTATCACCGATAGCTTGTTGTATAGCCGTCCCTCGGCAACACGATTGGCAAAGTTTGAGAACGCGAAAAACGTCCGGCGCGAAGTTCCGTAGAACAATGAGGTCCCCACAATAGTGTATGTGCGATGAACCTGGTCTGATCGATACTGGGGGTACAGTTCATAGCGTATGCATCATGATTTTTCCTTTCAATGCTCGCAGCTTCCTTTTGCTACCTATTGTATTGGGCATTACAGTATAACGGCCTGTTCGTAACATGATCTGTCGGCCCGTATCCTAAAAGTAACATGTTTGTCTTGTAAGCTGACGGCGCCGGTCGGAGCCCGCGTAGGACTAGGGTGACCTTCGCAGTATCCTTAACCCCCGTGCGACCATTGGTGGTTGCGCGGCAGCGAAACGTCGGAACTGCGTACCGGCGTACTGCTGATGCGTTGTTAGCCTGATCTTGTGACTATGGAGCAATGAATTTTTCACGGATATAAAAGCAAACGCTTGACAGTTTTCCGTAGGTAAAATGCGAGATCAAAAATTGATGTATCAAAATAAATAAAAATCGAGAAGCAGTGGACTTACCATAAATTTCAAATATACACATTGTTTCTTTAGGTTGTCTTGTGACCCAGTAATTTGGCTTAAATCACGTATTACAAGTGGTTACTGCATCATCAAATCGAGTTTTGAATTCGGACAACGTAGGAGCAGAGATCACAAAATGCGAAAGTAGGTTCCATGGCTGGATACTTGAATTGAGAAAATGTTCCGGCAACATTCCAACTGACTATACTGTGTCGCCAACTTCAACTGGGGGCCTCCCAGTGAAGTGTCGTGGCTGAGTTTTAACAATGGTCGGCATAGGTGGTTACAGATCGCCTCACAGAATACGATCTTATTCACTAAAAATTCCTAAACGCTTTAGTCACAAGTAGTGAGGGCGGTGGATCAATGATTTAACCTTTTTGTCACCCTCCATTGTGACCTCTCAACAACAGTAAGGTCATGCTATTGCCAGAGGTGCCACAGCTGAATGGTCTACCCAACGGGTTGTCGCACGTCATCGTTGAGCATTTGCGAAAAGAAGGTAGGATCAAACCGGCCAAACGCTCTCCGCTATAGGTCCAAATGTTGGCTTAATTTTTCATTACCATCTCAGCCTGCTATGAGCATCCGAGATCGTCCTGCACGCGCATCCCGAGGTTACATTCATGAGAAGCGCATTGCAAGACGTGTTCTCCCACTCGATATTGGTTTGGGCTATGGTGGCGTATACTCATTAGTTTGCATTTGACAGAATTAAACCCAAGCATGTTCTGGGTCGATCATTCCTAAGCCCTATCAAGATCACCCTGAAGTTAGTTGGCTGCTAGTTTGACTGCCCTCCAACGAGTAGAAAGTTCGACGTGAAAACGTACGCATGGTCATTTGTGAACAACAGGAAATAACCTTGGTCCTATTACCGAGCCATGAGGGATGCCACAATGAATCCCTAACGGGTCGGACAGGGTACTACGAACCCTCACACTCAAGTGTCGTTGGAGTAGGAATGAATGAATCCAGCCTTGGATAGGGTCACCGAACCTATAGCCCCGAAGCTTTTGAAGAAGAATCAAATGTCTTAGAGAAATCAAGGTAAGCAGCGTCAACTCCTCCAGCATCGACGGATTTCTTCCAGGTAGCACGGGCTGACAAACTATTCATACTTCATGAGCGGTTTTGACGGAATCCATGCTGCTCTTGCATGATGATATGGCACCTTTCTAACTATACCATAAGTGCATCTTCAACGGCAGATTCTGTGACTAGCAAGTACAGGAAGAAGTGTAATCGGGTGGTAGTTTGTGTGTATTGCACGATTGCCTCCCTTGTAAATAGGGGTGACTGTTCCACGCTTCCACTTTGTTGGGACCTGCATCTCGTAGGGAGAGCGCTGAAAAGACAGCTAATGGTTCAGTCAAGCTCCTGGCGGCTACCATCAATGACTTAGGGCGTATGCGATCTGAACTAGGGGAACTGTGATCGTTTCAGCACATCCGCGGCTATGAGGGAGATGTGGCTAAGTCCTAGTGGTCATGTGATATGTGTGAGAATGATATTAGTTGGCGCTGCGTTCTGGAAAGTACAAGCGAACTGGTGTCTAAGAGCATTAGATGCTATTTGGGCAGTTCGCGCTTGCCCACAGCAGTGTTTAGAAGAGGGATGCCACGCTATACTTTGCGAACTATGTTGACATGCTTGTAAAGTAGCTTAGGATTGCAGCGGAACTACTTCGCCAAATCTTGTTGGTGTTTCAAATTATATTCGTGGGCCAGTTTGGCACGGTGGTTTCGCTCAGTTATGTAGGTATGCTAGTTTCCGACGTTTGGATCGGATTTGAATTGTTTCCAATGTAGTTCTGTCAGGACCATTCGTCTCCGCGTCCTGCTCCTCAGGAAGGATTTTGCTATTTTAAGCGATGGGTTTTAGTCTCTGATGCGTTTGTTACTAAAGTATTGAACTGGTCGACGAATTTTCCACAATCGACATCCTGGGGTTGTTCTCCTAGAATCGACCAATCAGTAGCTTTAATATCGGATAAACTGTTATGATGTGTTATTAGGCGGACCTCTTCGATTTCCCTGTTGGACTGTTCAGCGTAGCAAACGTAGTGGTAAAGCAGTGCTGAATGATCACTGCGCCCCAGGGGATTACTCACTGTCACTGAGTCGACCATAATTTCCTCATTGGTGAAGGCGAAGTCAAAATTGGCCAGCTTGTTCCCCGTTCTGGATTTTGTAGGAGAATTAATGTGATTATAGAATGGAAGCCGGTGACTAATTCTTGGAGTTCGGCTTTAAACTGCTTTCCAGATGATGCCGGAACATTCATTGTATGCAAGTTGAGGTCCCCTACGAGGAGAACGTGAGAGTTAGGCTGAGTCAGAACGGTTTCAAAGCAGAAACTGGACGGTTGTCCATTTGCAGCATCGACATGGGGGACAGTATACCGGTTCAACTAAACACGTATCGCCACGTCTTAGTTGTAGACGACGCCAAAGTGAATCCACAACTTGTGGTTCTGAGTCTTCGACGACTTGGAAACATTAATCACTGTGGTAGTACGAAATTACGTCACCTCTCTTATTAGGTCGATCTTTACGCAAGACTGACATATCAGGTAGTGATCTCCGCCTCCGTGATTTCATCATCCATCCAAGTCTGTTGTCATTATCAGGTGCACAAGTATCCATACTTGACGAAATGGAAGCTCGGATAATTTGTTGCTAATGCCCTGAGCATTGATGTACATACCAGAGTGCTTTGAAAGTTAGTAGTGTATCTGAGGATACGATTGACAGGTCCGAACCTTTGCCGACCCTTACGAGGTTGACAAGTAATCGTTTTTGGTGAACTGCCGACATTGAATTTTGAGACGCTACATAGTGGCTAGTAGGAATGGTCACAGTATGAAGTTCCGGTTCCATATAGTATTGGGAAAGTCACTGTCGCTTCAACAATTGGTTGTGCTCCGCAGTTGTCTACTTCGCGCTACTGTACGCCTGCGAAAAATTTCAGCCATAGAGTTATCAGTACGTCTCATGTTTGTTCTAGGCTCGCCTATCCACGTTATGATATCGTCCGGTTCAATTTTGCAGGCTTTCTTGGTTTTTCAGAGTCTATTTTCAGCCTTTTATCCAGTCGGATCCGCATAACCGTTGCGGTAGACTACTTCGCTGCACTTGACCGGATCTTACTCTCCCTTAGATACTTTTTATTCATCCGTTTTTTTAATTATCGACTGGGTAGTGCACCAACTTCCATACAGTTGCAGTACCTTTGTCTCCTTGTAATCTTTGTCTTTTCCGCTAAAATAGACCGTCTACTGAGTTACTAAACCTTACGGCATTGTCCTTCCCACTTGTGTCTGCAGGGATGTGTCCGGAATTGCTACTTTTTCTGTTGCTCCCCGTTTCCGTTCGGCTGGGACCTTCTCTACGCCGAAGCTGTGGAGCAGAAGAACCTCGAACCTTCCCGACCAATCTATCCCACTGGGTCACTGAATGAACGGTTACCAGCTCAGCTGACCGTAAACGCGTCTGTTCCTCTCGACGTTCCGATAGCCGTGCATCTCAACTGTAGCCCCACTGTTGCTGAACCGGTGACCGCATCCATGCCAGCGTAGGCTATGCATATTTTTACTGAGCCTGTCAACATTCACTCTGTCAATGCGTTAGGTTGCTCCCCAAGGATGTTATTCCATTACCCGGTCTCTATTTCTGCCCCCTTGAACATGACTCCACGCTTTTCTGCGCCTCGTTTGGCAATCGTGAAGCACGCACACTCACCGGCTTTGTGGTGCTGACTGTGCATTTTCCACCATGTCCCCACTGAGCTTGCTTCATCCCACACGCTTTACAACACCGGACCATTTCATTACATTCTCTCGATACCATTTTTACGCTTGCCTTCTACTTTATGTGCACTCGAATCATCACAACCAAAGAGAACCATGTCATCGTGAGCTTATTTTTGTATGGTTGCTCGAAAACGTTCATTGCTTTCATTATTCCCTATCAAACCATATTTTTTATGTTTTGTGGTCTATTCACTTCCTCAAGAATCGATAATGGACATGTTTCCTCTCGATCCGCGTGTTTTGTTATTTTGTCGGTTACTGTACTTTCTTTCAACACCCATGCTCCCGGTTTGTTGGGTTCGAATCTTGGTTACATTGCCAGTTTAATACGCAAGTCCTTCGTTTTATCTAGTGTTAATTGGCCATTTTCTGGGCTACGATTGGCAAGCTTATGGTTCATTTGGACCTCTACAGCCCACCCTCGATCCATCGCTTGCTGGTGCCTTCTGCGAGATTCCTAGACGCCATGAATGTAGTGTTCCTGCTTATATTTGTTAGTTTTTTCTTAACCCACATAGCAGCTTACCCTACCTGCACATTTCAACCCCATTCGCGACTCCCTCTGCTCTGCGTGATCAAGCCTTATGTACCAGATTCAGCCATTACGCACAACCTCACCACGTCGCTCGCTAGTCCGCCATCACCTGACCCTTCTAACCACATTGTTCATTTGAATAGTGTGTGCAACCGACCAAGGTCAGTAAGCTACACAACCTCAACTAGCTCACTTTGTCAGGTAACGATACTATTCTGAGTAGCAGCAAGCAAGTACACGCGCACCCAAAAGGGGTCCGTACGAAGGGTGCTGTGGATCGGTAGAGTGTAATCAACCTTGGTTTAGCCTACACACACTGTTCCCAATTGTACCACCCAGCGTGTGCAAAGCTTTCCCAACAATAGGTGAGTGCTCGATATTGCTCACTAGACGTCCTATGGTTTTTTTACTGCGTGTTTTACCATCACACTAGTCAGATGTCTGTTAATCTTAGTCAAAAGTCGCGACCAGTTAACAACTGAAATTGCCGTTATCTCCTCTAACAGTGAAAGCACGTCCGACGAAAACAGACCGGGGTTCTGATAATCAAGCGGTACTTATGAAAACAAACATCAGGCACCACCCAGAAACGTATGATCAACGAAATTCCACCGGCCTTAACAGCCTGTATCATTAACAAGGATTGGACAGGAGAACACGTCTTCTGCATCTGCAACTCAAGGGTCTCTTCTCGAGGCCGAATCCTCCGAGAATTCAGTCACCTATGTAGAGATCGCTGCAAAGGTCACTTGGGATGCTACACTTTGGATCTCCTCCCTTACAAACATCGCTAACGCGAACAGGGAGACAAACGGTAAACCATCATCACTTGGCATAAAGCCAGGACCAACGATCACCCGACCTTGAAGCTGAACAAAAAGGGATCTAACCATAACTCCCTGACTGTTGGGTGCACGAATATCCGCAAATCTAACGCCACCACATTGCAGAGAAAGTTGTCTGACGATCACGACCAGCGAAACTTATTATGCATTTTAATGAACGTCAATATAAACCCAATACGAGTTACTTGTCACCCAACCCCTACAAACTATGACGAACTCAGACGTATAAGATTGGAACATTGGTTTTGTATGGGTGAAAAAGCTAATGCTTAACAGGTCCCGTAGGATGGTTATGGTGAAACTTCAGAATATTAAAAAAATATTTTGAACACTATTGGGTTTACACTGGTGCACTCACTGTGATGTACGTAGTGTAAGCTGTAAATCCAAGGTAAATATATAAGCAATGACAACAAGTGAGATGTTGGTAAAAATCGTGTCTCCTGGTGTACACAAACAGGAGGTGAAAAAGTGGAACGAAATCTGGGATTTGACCGCCAGTGAAATCGCTTACAGACGCTTGTGTTTATCCATGAATAATGGATCATATAAGATATTGCAGAGAAATAAGTGCACGATCAACTCGGGCTTTGAACTCTGCAAGCGTGGGATCATATATGACAGATTCCAGTAGGGAATTCCACGTTCTGCAAACACGTATGAAAAAAATTCCGATTGCATTCCAAACGACTGTTTCTCTGCCAGCTTGAGATGGTGGCTTCTTAAATTCCTGTTGTGACTGAGCTCTAGCAAGTAGCAGCACGTTTGCTTAGGATCTCACAAAATTTGGTACCTTAAAATGAGGTCCCCACGCAATCGCCGATACGGTCGGCTGAAGACCCCTAGCGCTTGTAGCCTTCGTTCATACCGCGAATTACACAGACCTTTGACATCCTTGGTTGACCGGCGTTGGGGCATTTCCACGACGGTGAGATCTCTTCTCAGCCATTGCTGCCAGACATGTATTACGTATTCCACATGTGGCCATATGTATGAGCCGAGAAGTGGAAAAATCGCAGGGTCGAATCGTCCGAATGCACTCTTCAAGAGGCCCACGTGCTGCATGCCCCTACTTTACGCCGTTTCAGCTTGATTTGAGCATCCAAAGTCGGCCTGGACCGAAACTCCCAGATCATTCTCGCCACAAGTCATTTGAAGCTCGTGGTTGCCGAGTTTGTAGAAGTACACCAATTTGTACCGTAACTGCAGTACTCTACATTTGTTCACTTTGAATCGAAGTAGGTTCTGGATTGACCACACGGATACTCTATCCAGGTCAACTTGAAGTACTGTGATATCATCTAGTGTATTGATCTCCCTCCACATTTTGCGGTCATCGACATAAAGCAGGTCGTTCAATCTTATGATGCGTGCGATATCGATCGATTTCATCGGGAGCCATGCTGTTCCGGTGTGAGGTAGTTAAATTCTTCTAAGTAGGCCGTTAGCGCATCTGTAATCATAGCTTCCATGACTTTTGAAACAACCAGCACTAAGTTTCTGGGTCGGTAGATGGCTGGATTTGAACGACTGCCTTTCTTGTGAATAGCAGTAGTCATCCCGTGTTTCCACATGTAGGGCACGTACATTTCGTCAAAACAGTCTTGGAAGAATCGATCCAAAGGCTCAGCTAAACTCTCTTCTATCGCCGCTAGCGATTTCGTGTGTATATTGTCAACGCCTGGAGAGCTGTGCTTGCGTATACTCAACAGTGTTTTTAGTACAGCGTCGGCCGTGAAGTATATGTGAGTGAGTTTTGGGGGTAAAACAACCATCTCCATAGGGTTAGGTGGCCAGTGATCGCACTGAAATGTTGCAGCATATTGTAGGCGCAAGGTATTCGCCGCCTCATTCTGTGTCCGTGTGGGTCCGTCCGCTGTTTGAAGCGGAGGAATTCCCCGTTTCAACTTACATAGACTGTTGACATGTTGATACAGAAGCTTGTGATTTGAGGCCATACGCACTGCCAACTTATGCTGGTACGGCATTCTGTCCTCGCCAACAAACTGAGTACAGTGGTTACATTGCGTCGCATAGGCCATCCAGCTCTCGGTGCTTGGGGAGAGTTTGTAGATATGCCAGGCGGAGTTTCGCATCGCTATACACTTGCGTGTCCTGCTTCGCAGAAACGAGACCACGTTTCTCGGGCGGGAGGTCTTAGTCGCTGACACTTCGGCAACTAGAGAGTTAAACTGGTTGACGAAATGTTCCCATGCACTGGCTGGTGCCTCGTCTGCCAGGAAGCTCCCGTTGGCTGTCTCATCTGCTCGAGCTAATATATCGTAGCGTATACTTGTTTTTGTAATTTTCACGGCATATCCTGCACAACAAATATATTCGAAGAGTAGGACTGCATGTTCACCGCGGCCCAAGGGGACGTCGATGATCACCCTCTTCTTCGTAGGTGAATATTTGATCCAGTACCTAAGGCTTGTCTTTTTCTCGGAATCGCGTGGGAGTGTTGATGTGGCCATAAAGCGGGTAACTGGAAAAAATTTGTACGTCGGCCTTAAACTGTTCTCCGATAGCTGCCTGGGATTCCAGAGCGTGTATGTTGAAATCGCCAGTAATGAGAATGTGATTGTGATTTGCGTTTATCACCCACTTTATTGTGGACGCCAGATGGGAGTCCATTTCGGGCGTGGAGGAAGGCGGTAAATGACCACCACTAAGCAAATGTCGTCGCCTTTTAATCGTAGACGATACCAAAGGGGATTTTGTATCGTGCGGACCGGGTTCTCTAGGGGCTCACATTGGAGGTCGTTGCAGAGGTACATAGCCACCCCTCCACTCTTGCTGGGTCGGTTGTGCCGAACAGTGGACATGCCTGGCAGTGTGATCTCCATGTCACTTATGTTATGGCTTAACCATGTTTCCGTACTAGGGAGGAGGTCGCCGGCTTTTATCTTTGATGCAGGCGCATTTCGGAAAGCTTACTCAGTAAGCCTTGGGCGTTGGTGTACATACAGGGAAGCTTCTCGGATGTCAAAAGCTGTTGACTAGGAACACGTGCATGATGTGGATTTGTGCCGACCGATGAAAGGTCGATACCTAATCGTTTTTGGCTGAATTGCCAGATCTCGATAGGAATGCAATCTGTTTTTTGTCTCACTTGTACCTGCGGTATGTAGTTCATCGACAGCCTTCTCAATAGCTACGGGTCTTAGCGCATAGGTTTCTGAGTCGCTGTTGTGGTTATATCGAGTGTCGGGTGGTGTCTTTTCCTCGAGAACATCCTGTGGCTGCGGCTTTCTAACTGCTGTCTTCAATCGTAGTTCCGGAGGGAGTGTATTGTGTAGTAACTGCCAGTTACGGATTAAGTTCACGGCCGTCTGTTGTGACTGCACCGTCAGTTTCAGTATTCTCGTGCCACTGCCTTTGTAGTTTGACGACATGGGTAACCGTGTAATCGACTGAAGTATGACATCGTCCGCACAGAGAGCTTCATGGATGTAACGCCATTCTTCCAGGTTTCTTCGTTGCTGGTTGTTGGTAGCCCGGGCACGCCATGAACGGAAATAATTCATTTGCTACTCTCCGTGTGCTAGTCGTTTGAATTACTTTTCTCCCGCTGGTCTTCGCTCTACGGAACACCCGGAAACATACTTAACCCACTGTTTTCAGTCCACAAGCGGTATGCGGACAAAAGCACCGTTTCGACATCATCTGTTGA